TTTCCAGCAACCTGAGGTTGGAAAGAAGTGACTTGTGTCAGTAGCACAAGGGGAAGAAGGGGAAGCAGAACCAGGACTCAGGTCTTTTTAGTCTGGGGATCTTGCCATTAATTCCACCAGGCTCTACATTTGTCACCACTCCTACCACTATGATCATTATTATTATGACCAAATTAAATTTAAACAACTTTTTAATTAAAAAATTAAACTACTTCTATATGAAAAAGATAAAGCAGTTCGCATCAATTTTCTCTTTTGTCACATGGAGGAATTCAATCAGATGGTATATGTGATCCCTACAGTTTCTTTTTAAAAAATGTGTATATTTATTTGACTGTGCTGGCTCTTTCATCAGTTGAAGCGTGTGAGCTCTTAGTTGCAGCCTGTGAGATCTAGCTCCCTGACCAGGGATGGGACCTGGACCCCCTGCATTGGAAGCATGGAGTCTTAGTTACTAGATCACTAGAGGAGTCCCATTCCTACAGTTTCTAACTGCTAATAAAATAGTTCTTCCAGTGATAGATGTGGTGGTGGTGGTACCAAAGTAAAGGAGGAAGAGAGGGCATTTCTGAAATAATGTAAAGGGAGTTGTGTGTTGAACTGTTTTACATTTTTACATTTACTTTTTCTTATCCAAATCCTGGTAACAGAGCTAAAATAAAATTTTAGCTAATAGGTGACCAAACACATCCTCATGGCTGTTATTATGCCTGGCGTGGTTAGACTCACATGCTGTACCACATCTCAGGTTGGAGGTAGTTCCTAGGAACTAACATGGCACTAACCAAGATGAGATTTGAGCAGGAACCAAATTTAGGTCCCAGGGCTGGAGGTGGTTCACTACAGTTAATCAAGAATGATGAAAATGATGAGCTGAGAGGGAGAGAGGAGAATAGTGGCTGAGATCTGAAATTCAGTTGTCAGACATTCAGAAGTGATGATGTCGAAATAGGAAACTCAGAGCTCAGTGGCAGCCAGGGCTGTGCAAAGTCAGAATGAGGAGAACCAGTTGACAAAGGCAAGACTCTGGTCAAGACCAGAGTGAGAGCTGGCTGCAGGGGACCTCTTTGGAGAACCATCACACCACCCTTTTGAGAGAAAGTGAAGAAGAACTAAAGAGCCTCTTGATGAAAGTGAAAGAGGAGAGTGAAAAAGTTGGCTTAAAACTCAACATTTAGAAAACTAAGATCATGGCTTCTGGTCCCATCACTTCATGGCAAATAGATGGGGAAATAATGGAAACAGTGAGAGACTTTATTTTGGGGGCCCCAAAAATCACTGCAGATGGTGACTGCAGCCATGAAATTAAAAGATGCTTGCTCCTTGGAAGAAAAGCAATGACCAACCTAGACAAGCATATTAAAAAGCGGAGACATTGCTTTGCTGACAAAGGACCATCTAGTCAAAGCTATGGTTATTCCAGTAGTCATGTATGGATGTGAGAGTTGGACCATAAAGCAAGCTGAGCGCCATAGAATTAATGCTTTTGAACTGTGCTGTTGGAGAAGACTCTTGAGAGTCCCTTGGACTGCAAGGAGATCCAGCCAGTCCATCCTAAAGGAGATCAATCCTGAATATTCATTGGAAGGACTGATGCTGAAGCTGAAACTCCAATACGTTGGCCACCTGATTCAAAGAACTGACTCATTGGAAAAGACCCTGATGCTGGGAAAGATTGAGGCCAGGAGGAGAAGGGGACGACAGAGGATGAGATGGCTGGATGGCATCCCCGACTCGATGGGCATGAGTTTGAGTAAACTCTGGGAGTTGGTGATGGACAGGGAGGCCTGGCGTGCTGCAGTCCAAGGGGTCGCAGAGTCGGACACGACTGAGCGACTGAGCTGAGCTGACCTGACCTTGATCTGATGATGGGTTTGTTTGTTCTCAGTGCTCCCGCAAACGTGTTGCTTAAAGTTTCATTCTTAATTAGACAGCCAGAGATTGAAAGTGCCTATAAGTCTTGCAGGGAAAGGCCACTGAAACCTTCCCTAGAAAAGTAAAGTTTCTAAACACCTTATTTCACAAAATATGCAAAACCCTTAAAATAATTTGACATTCCAGTACATATTTTGGGGCATCAGAGGAGAAATAAGAGAACTTATTTAAAGAGGACTCAGTCCAGAACATGAAAAAGACTTGCCTATTTCCACAATTTGGATTGACTTTGCCATAAAGGGTATAATATTTGGTCTATAGTGAAAGAATTATATATTTTACCCCAATTTTGGAGACTTTTTAAAGAATTCCAAGCAAATGTTTGTCTCCCAGCTAATAGTTCTGTTACCTCAGCCCTAACACCTTCACAAAAGTACTTGCCTTCTTTATCCCCCTGCAACAAAAGTATTTATTTTTTCATAAAACAGCTGCCCTGAGTGGCTTGTAACACCAACCATAATATTTAAAAGGTTAAAAAAAAAAGTCTTGGATTCTTTTCACTTGTTAACTTGCTTTCAGATCTGTTTTTTAATTTCAGCATTCTTATTTATTATTTTAATTTTTCGTTGAAGTATTGTTGATTTACAGTGTTGTTAATTTCTGTTGTACAGCATAGCAATTCTGTTCTACATATTTATATATATACATACATTATTTTTAATATTCTTTTCCATTATGGGTTATCTCAGGGTATTGAATATAGTTCCCTGTTTGTACAGTAGGACCTTGTTGTTTATCCATCTGTATATAATAGTTTGTATCTGCTAACCTCAAACTCCCAGTCCATCCTGCCCCACTCTCCCCCTTGGCACCACAAGGCTTTTCTCTATATCTGTGAGTCTGTTTCTATTTTGTAGATAAGTTCATTTGTGTCATATTTTAGATTCCACATATAAGTGATATCATATGATATTTGCCTTTTTCTCTCTGACTTACTTCACTTTAGTAGGATAATCTTTAGTTCCATCCGTATTGCTGCAAATGGCATTATTTTTCTCTTCTGTGGCTGAGTAGTATTCAGTCATGTTTATGTACCACAGCTTCTTTATCAGTTGTCTATTGATGGAGAGTTAGGTTGTTTCAGTGTCTTAGCTATTGGAAATGGTGGTGCTATGAACATAGGGGTGCATGCATCTTTTTGAATTATAGTTTTTTTCCAGATATATGCCCAGGAGTGGGATTGTTGGATCATATGGTAATTCTATCTTTAGTTTTTTGAGGAACCTTCATACTATTTTCCATAGTGTCTGCATCAACTTACATTCCCACCAACGAAGTAGGAGGGTTCCCTTTTCTTTACACTCTCTTCAATATTTGTAAGTTTTTCAATGATAGCCATTCTGACTGGTGTGAGGTGGTACCTCATTGTAGTTTTTATTTGCATTTCTCTGATAATTAGAGATTTTGAGCATTTTTCCATGTACCTGTTGGTCATCTGTGTGTCTTCTTTGGAGAAATGTCTACTTAGATCTCCTGCCCATTTTTTGATTGGATTGTTTGTAGATTTTTGTTGTTGATGAGTTGCATGAGATGTTTATTTTGAAATTAAGCCTTGTTGGTTGCACTATTTGCTAATACTTTCTCCACATTTATAGGTTGTCTTTTCGTTTTGTTTATGGTTTCCCTTGCTGTGTAAAAGCTTATAAGTTTGATCCTATTTATTTATTTTTGTTTTTATTTCTGTTGCCTTGGAGACTAGCTTAAGAAAACATTGGTGTGATTTATGTCAGAGAATTAGTATTCTTTAATATAGCTATGAATTCACTATTTTCAACATAAGAGCACAAAGTAGAGGAGTGTGTAACTTGCATTAAGAAGGAAGGCTAGACTCACTGACACTGTCTTATCACATCTGATGTTGGTGTCTCATCAGACAGAGTTTCTCATATCCTTTGAATCTATGCGTTGTAAATCCAAATATTTGCATACATACAAAAGTTCAGTCATTTGGATTTTTTTCTACATGATACTCATTTGTTTCTAATCCTTCTTTTCCACAAGGATTTGGACAAGAAACACTGACTTGGAATAATGTCAGAAAACCTGTAGCCTAGTGCACATTGATAGAATATATTTTTAGTTGTCTGGACTTGAAGAATAACATCTAGCTGATTAGATGTGTTTTAATAGAATTTTTGAAAAGAATAAATTACCCTCTGCCGTATGACCTGCTATTTATAGCTCTGTTCTGGACAAAGAACATCAAAACAGAATGAATTAATTGTTCTCCATGCTATTATGTCTTATATATAGTCATATCAACATTTATAAAAATATCAAATCAGTACCGATAAAAAATAGAATGTAATTTTCCTCTATTGTCCTTGAAGAAGGAAAATTATTATTATAGATCCCCTTCCACGAACTGAGGAGAAAAGTTCATATTTATCAAATGTAAAAGAATTTGTGTCATAAATTTTGTCAAAAGGTATAAAATAGTTCCTTCCTGACTTCCATCCCATCCTGATTCTTTCTTTTTAAACTAATTTTTTTTTATATTTTCATATATATATTTAAAGTTAAGAAAAATAAAACTAATTCAAGCCATGCCCTGTGCAAAAAAAGAAAAAAAGAAAAAAAAAAAAAGAAAAATTTAAAGTGAGACCTTTGTCTGCTGCTCTAGTCTCAACTTAAGTATCACAGTCAGCTTGTTACTTTTATTTTGGAAGAGAAGATGTAAAAGTTTCTTTCAATCACTCGGAAGGCAAGTGTAGCCACTTATAAAAACAGAATGGCAGAGACAGACTGGGAAAGGAAAGTCAGAGGTGAAAGGGCAGAGCAGGAAAGGAATTTTCAAAAATAAAATTTAACAAGGTGACTGTTCCAGAAGGGGGCTGTGAAAAGGACATGGTGGACCGAAGTCTGTTAGTCAAGTAATGATTCAACTTTTAAATTATTCTCTTGTTCTTTTTTGTTGGGTGTTTTGTTTGTTCAAGTCTAAGATTTGGAAATGCTGACCCTCTGTTAACAAGAGCCAACGGGAAATATAGGATCCCTTCCCTCCCCCGGCCTGCCTCCGCTGAAGCCACCACCATCGCCTCCTTGGCTGCGGCTGCTCTCCCAAGATGGCGGCTCCTCCGGGCGAGCACTTCAGCGTTGGGAGCCAGGTGTCGTGCCGGACGTGCCAGGAGCAGCGGCTGCAGGGCGAGGTGGTAGCCTTCGACTACCAGTCCAAAATGCTGGCTTTAAAATGTCCCTCTTCCAGTGGAAAGCCCAACCATGCAGACATCTCGCTTATAAACTCACAGTATGTTTCAGAAGTGGAAATAATTAATGACCGAACAGAAACCCCTCCTCCCCTAGCTTCACTCAACGTTAGTAAGCTTGCCAGCAAAGCACGGACAGAGAAGGAGAAGCTGAGCCAGGCCTATGCAATCAGCGCTGGTGTCTCCCTAGAGGGCCAGCAGCTCTTCCAGACCACACACAAGACCATTAAAGACTGTAAATGGCAAGAAAAAACATCGTAGTCATGGAAGAAGTTGTTATTACACCCCCATATCAAGTGGAAAACTGTAAAGGCAAAGAGGGGAGTGCACTGAGCCATGTACGCAAAATAGGTGAAAAACATTTTAGAGACGTGGAAAGCCAAAAGATACTGCAGCGTTCACAAGCCCAGCAACCACAGAAGGAGGCTGCCCTGTCATCCTGAGTCCACACATACGGAGGACTCTTCCAGTAAACTAATTTTTTTATTGCAGAAAAATAGAGAAATCAAAATTTATTATTTAAATCATTTTTTAAAATAGTTATTTGTTTGCTGGTGCTGGGTCTTAGTTTCAGTGTGTGCGATCTAGTCCCCTGACCAAGGATTGAACCTAAGCCCTTGCATTGGGAGGACAGAGTCTTAGCCACTGGACCAGGGAAGTACCTATTTAAATCATGTTTAAGGGTACAGTTCGGTGGTCTTAAGTGCACTTACATATTGGGCAACCTTCACCACCATCCATCTGCAAAACGTTTTCATCTTCCCAAACTATCACTTTATACTGGTTAAACAAAAACTCCCCATCTTCCCCTTGTCCCCATCTCTGGTAACCACTGCTTTCTGTCTATCTCTATGGATTTGCCTGTTCTAGGCACCTTATATTAATGAAATCATGCAATATTTGCCCATTTGTGTCTGAGCTTATTTCACTTAACGGTAATGTCTTCATGGTTCATCTATGTTATAGCATGTATCAGAGTTTCATTTCTTTCTAAAGCTGAGTAATATTCCATTGTATGTTTAGACCATGCTGTGTTTATCCAGTCATCTATTAATAGATGTCTAGATAGTCTTCTTCCTTTTGGCTATTGTGAATAATGCTGCTGTGAACATTGGTATATAAACATCTGGTCAAATTTCTAATTTCTTTTGGGCCTATCCTAGAAGCACAATTGATGGATTGGTGGTAATCTTCATTCCAATTCCGTCTGAATGCTTTAATTATTTTGTTTGGGTCTCTACATTGGCCAGCTTCTCCTTAATCTTGTTAAAATGCTTTATGGAATATTTAATACTATAAAATTTGAAGGGATGCCTGCGATTAATGATTTTATTCACGTAACCAGTACATAACAAAAATGTGGTAAGCATTTGGAATGTTCAGGTACTTTTCTAGATTTTGGATTCATGGAATAAGATGTAAGCAAGTGAGGAGATAATAAACACCAACATGGATATATAAGAAAATAGAAAGGTAGCATGATGGAAAGTACTGGGGACTACCTTCGTTCTGCTCTCCATGGAAGGACTCTTTGAGAAGAAAACTTTTGAGCTTGGAGACCCTAGGAATAAGAAAGAGGCATGAGACAAGTGCTTGGGCCTGGTGCACTGGGAAGACCCAGAGGAATCGGGTGGAGAGAGAGGTGGGAGGGGGGGATCGGGATGGGGAATACATGTAAATCCATGGTTGATTCATGTCAATGTATGAAAAAAACCACTATAATATTGTAAGTAATTAGCCTCCAACTAATAAAAATAAATGAAAAAAAAAAAAGAAGGAGGAGGCAACCATACTGGGGAGACTGTTACAGGTAGAGGGAATAATAAATGCCAAGACTCAGGTGGAAACAATTCAGGCCATTGGAGCCAGAGTCTGTTGTTCAAGGGCAAAGTGGTAGGGATAGTGGAAGTGGAGGGTGTAGGAACTTTGCATTTTATTTGAAGTCCAACCAGAAACCAAAAGATACCATTAAGCATGGAGTGGCATTGTCTGATTTACTGTTTTTAAAGATCACTGATTGTTCTGTAGGAAGACAAGAAACAAGAGAAGCAAGGAAACCAGATGGGGCTATTTCAGTGGTCCAGGGAAGAGACTGTACTTAGAGTGGAAATAGTGGGTAAGTGCAAAAGAAGAAGAGAAATTGGAATCCTATTTTATTTTTTTACATAAACAAGTTAATTTCTCTCTCATGTAAAAATCTGTTCAGAGCTGTTAATGGTGCTCTTTGGTAAAAAGATCTTGGGGCTTTTTTTTCGTGTTATTTATCATGTGTAATTTATGTTCTTAAGGTCATTCCATAGTCCAAAATGGCTGCAGGAAATCCAGCCACTGTATCACCTGGAATATGTTTTGAAGGAAAGGTCAACAGAACTCATCAAATAATTATAGTTAGGGAAGGAAGATAAGCAACTAAGGTTAATGCCTATTTGTGGCTTAATTAGATAAACGGTGGTGTCACAGAGTGAGACAGAGAATATTTGGGGACTGTTTAGTAGGGTGTTTTGGAAGGGTGAAATGCTATTAGAAATATTTGCATTTTAAGTGTTTGTTTGTTTTTTAGTTGAGATATATACTTTGTATCCAAGTCAAGATGTAAACTAAAAAAGTCTAGGGAAGAAAAGTCTGGAATTCATCAAGGAGGTGAGGGTTTGAGAGATATATTTGGAAGTTATTGGAATAAAGATTTAAGTCTGTTGGCTAGATGAGATCACCTGGGTAGAACGTTGATACAGAAGATGAAAGAGTTCAGAACCAAGCTCTTGGACTTCAGTATTAAAAGCTGATAGAGAAGGAAAAACCAGCATAGAATGAGAAGTAGTAGTTACAAGGTGGGAACACACCGGGATTGCGTAGTATCGTGAAAGCACCTCAGGATCAAGGCCATGTTGATTGAGAAGGTAGAAGACTTTCTGCTGGAGTTGCCAATGTGAAGGTCACATTAGTGATCTAAATGGTACCATTGCAGGAAGTAACGCACTGAAATTATACATCAAACTAAAAGACACCCACTTCATACTCGCCAACTGAAGGCTGGCCATATGGAGTTGGTACACCGTGTCCTGGGAGTGCATGTTTTGGTTTTGTCCTTTGGATTCCCCTGGTAGACATACATTGCTCTTAAATGGAGCTTCAGGAATAATGTCTTGGTGATGAATGATTCCGACAGGATCAAATAAATCCCAGAGTGTTAAGCACATCAGGTTTATTGTTAGTTGTTTCCTGAAAACGTTTGAAGCCTTGACTCCGTTAGGTGAAAATATAATTCCATTAAATTGCCTGACTTTTTAATACTTTAATTTAGTGCCATGGACCACTTTTAGTGGAAAATGTTTTGGCAGAAGGATCCCTTTTAAATGGCTTGGCTTTCACAATTCTGCCTTTCACCTTTCAAGCCTTTTCACCTGTCTATTCCAAGTTTGCATCTGGCCCAATGATAACTGGGAAAGAGTTTTAATTAGCAAGGATGAAACAAGTGAAAATTGTTTAGAAAGATGATGAGATGAAAACACATTGGACTGGGAGCATGAAACCCTGATTCACCTCCCAGGTGTTTGTCACTGACCCTCTGCGTTATGGTGGTAGCTGTAGAATCTTTTTGGCCCCCAGGTTTCACATTTGTAAACTCTCTAAATAAGGAATGGGAATTACATCCTTAAATATAATCACAGGATCCTCTCATGTATTCTAAGGCATGTAGTAACAATCCATGGAAGTGGGTCTTGATTATACAAATCTAGCCTTACTAGCAAAGAACTTGCCCTGGATGTAGAACTGGGAAATGTCATCTGACTAAAGGTGGAGATGAATGACATCACCCTAGGCCAGGATGGACTACTTATTGTTGTTCAGTTGCTAAGTTGTGTCCAACTCTTTGCAACCCCATGGACTGCAGCATGCCAGGCTTCTCTGTCCTTCACTATCTCCTCGAGTTTGCTCAGAATCATGTCCATTGATTCGGAGATACCATCCAACCATCTCATCCTCTGTTGTCCCCTTCTCCTCCTGCCCTCAATCTTTCCCAGCATCAGGGTCTTTCCCAATAGTCAGCTCTTCGCATCAGGTGGCCAAAGTATTGGAGCTTCAGCTTCAACATCAGTCCGTCCAGTGAATATTCAGAGTTCATTTCCTTTAGGATTGGCTGGTTTGATTTCCTTGTGGTCCAAGGGACTATTAAGAGTCTTCTCCAGCACCACAGTTCAAAAGCATCAGTTCTTTGGTGCTCAGCCTTCTTTATGGTCCAACTCTCACATCCATACATGACTACTGGAAAAACCATAGCTTTGACTATACAGATCTTTGTGAGCCAAAAGGAAGATGTAGGAATAGGACAAGAATGGAGGAAAACATGTTGGAAGGGCAAGTGTGATAGTGAAGCAATTTGGAGATTTAAAGGCAAGAAATGGAAATCCAAGGCTTCACAGTAGTTGTTGGATTTCGGTCACATGTCAGGCAGCATCTCATAGGCTTATGGGGAATGAGGACAAGATTTGTTTGGCTTGTTTAAAGCTGTGCCATTGAGTGGGAAGATTGTGGGTCAGCCTCAGCTGGATGGATAGAAAACATGAAGCTGAACTGAGAGATTTCTCAACTGTTTATATTCATAGGTGTGGAAAGAAACAGCCTCTTGCTGTAGATGTTTGTGTTAGAACACAGTGGATGAAGGGAGAAGGTGGAGCCTCCGGCTGGAGAGGTTGACAATGTATGTTACAGAGAAGGATCTGGAGAAGGACAAGTGCTGGAATGTGGAGGCCGTATCTGTGACCAGGAGATGTTTAGATCAAATTCAGTCTCATAGTCTTTGTGTCTCTCCTTCTGTTTCTTAAGTAGGTCTCTAAAAAACACATGCTTCTAGAACCAGCATTGTTGTCACACTGCTCCTGCAGCCCTACAAAGAATAGTGTGTGAGATTTTTAAGTGGTGGCAAGCTCAAAATAACATTTGTATTGCACTTTATAATACATAAAGCACTTGCATATAATTAACTCATTTGATTTGATCATCACAATAATGCCTCAGGCTGATAGTTATAAACCTCGCAACTGATGAAATCCTCATCAGCTAAATCTGAGGCTTAGTAATTAGCAGAGTCAGCCAAGCCTACTTCCGGACCCCATGGTCCTCTGGTCCTCAATGCCATGTTCTTTTCAGTATACAGTGCAAACTTATTAAAAATTAAAAGTCTTTTTTTCAGACAGCTCATAGTTTTAAATACCAAAATACCAGTTATTTATTAGATCTGAAGAAATATAGCAAATTTGAGG